TGAGAGACAGTAGTGTTGTGAATTGTTGTGTAATAATGGAATGAGTGTTGTTTGATGGAAGTGTAGAAGTGTTAGTAGAACAGGGTAATTGTAGTAGTTGACTTGTTGAGTGTTTGGAATGAGTGAGAGATTGAGTGTGGGAGAGTTCGTAGTGGTGGCTGTGTTAGAGTTTGTCTTTTTGAATATGATACATTTGTCGTTGTGTTGTGTATTTTGCGAGGAAGTAGCATTAGTTTGTGTGTTTGTATGTGTATATGTGTATCTGGTTGATTTTTGTATGTGATGTTGTCGTGTATGATGGAATGCATATTGTGTGTTTGAGGTGTTATGTTGAAGTGATGAATGTGAGTTTGTGTGTTGAGTTTGTTTGATTTGTTTTGGTTGCTGTGGTTGTGGTGATAGTGATGAAAGTGGCTTGTCGGTATACACGTTAAAATGCCGTTTACTTCTAAGGAACCACTGATGATGTTAATATGACATCGTGTATATGAGAATTAATAATGAATGATTGAAATGCTAATTGTTTTTCTTTTGTATATTTGTTTGTTTATTTCAGGTTTTTGGTTTGTGGTTGGTGTTAGATCGCAGTACAACTGCATAGTACAGCATAGAGTGTGCGGTTTTGGAGTGTGAAGAAGAGGTGAGTGAGTGTGTTTATGTTTAGTAGTGTGTCAACGATGATGTTGATGACTCAATAACCTGTGTGTGATGAATGACTTTAGTTAGGGACATCTGTTAACTACTTGATGACTATTGGGTTTGTCGTCTGACAATAATGTGTATAGAATGGATGTATTAGGATTGTGAATTGATGTTGAATTGATACGAATGTATTTGTTTTGTGTGTTTTAGGTTTGTGAATTGACGATGCGACTGACTGACTGACTGTGTGACAGTGTTAGTGAGTTCGAGGTGAGTTATTGTAATTGTATGTATATATTGTTATTTTTTTAGGTGTATATGCCGATGTATGAGTGATTGTGTGAGTGACTGGTCGCGGTCGATGCGTATGGTGCTAGTGTATTTTGTTGTTGTAATAGATTAGTGATAGAGAATTGAATGCATTGTGTTTTGATGTGTGGATATTGTTGATGTTGTAGTACGTGACAATGTATGTCGGTGTGTATGGAAGAAGTGTTTGTGATTGAATAGGTGTGTAGAACAAGTGTTGGTAGTTTGATAGGTGGATAGGTGGATAGAATGATATATCGGTTGTTAGATTGACGTGTGTTAGTTATTGGATATTGATGGTGGTGTGCTGTGTCCTCTGTGCAAAGGCGCCTGGATGTACTGCAGTCACTGGGCGTAAGAACCAGAGGTAGATTGAATTAGTTGTTGATGCACTGTGAATGTTTTTGTGCATCACCACACAGTTTTGTGTGTGTTGTGTATCTGTGAGGTGTTTGGTAAGGAAGGGTGTGGTAGATTAGTGTGTATAATTGATGGATATTGTGTAGTGTTATTGTGTGAGTATTGTGAATGATAGTGGTGCAGTGTTGCTGTGGTGTTATTGTATGTAGGATTTTGTTGATTGGTGCTTTGTTTTGTGCAGTGTAGTTTAGTGTGAGAGACAGTAGTGTTGTGAATTGTTGTGTAATAATGGAATGAGTGTTGTTTGATGGAAGTGTAGAAGTGTTAGTAGAACAGGGTAATTGTAGTAGTTGACTTGTTGAGTGTTTGGAATGAGTGAGAGATTGAGTGTGGGAGAGTTCGTAGTGGTGGCTGTGTTAGAGTTTGTCTTTTTGAATATGATACATTTGTCGTTGTGTTGTGTATTTTGCGAGGAAGTAGCATTAGTTTGTGTGTTTGTATGTGTATATGTGTATCTGGTTGATTTTTGTATGTGATGTTGTCGTGTATGATGGAATGCATATTGTGTGTTTGAGGTGTTATGTTGAAGTGATGAATGTGAGTTTGTGTGTTGAGTTTGTTTGATTTGTTTTGGTTGCTGTGGTTGTGGTGATAGTGATGAAAGTGGCTTGTCGGTATACACGTTAAAATGCCGTTTACTTCTAAGGAACCACTGATGATGTTAATATGACATCGTGTATATGAGAATTAATAATGAATGATTGAAATGCTAATTGTTTTTCTTTTGTATATTTGTTTGTTTATTTCAGGTTTGTGGTTTGTGGTTGGTGTTAGATCACAGTACAACTGCATAGTACAGCATAGAGTGTGCGGTTTTGGAGTGTGAAGAAGAGGTGAGTGAGTGTGTTTATGTTTAGTAGTGTGTCAACGATGATGTTGATGACTCAATAACCTGTGTGTGATGAATGACTTTAGTTAGGGACATCTGTTAACTACTTGATGACTATTGGGTTTGTCGTCTGACAATAATGTGTATAGAACGGATGTATTAGGATTGTGAATTGATGTTGAATTGATACGAATGTATTTGTTTTGTGTGTTTTAGGTTTGTGAATTGACGATGCGACTGACTGACTGACTGTGTGACAGTGTTAGTGAGTTCGAGGTGAGTTATTGTAATTGTATGTATATATTGTTATTTTTTTAGGTGTATATGCCGATGTATGAGTGATTGTGTGAGTGACTGGTCGCGGTCGATGCGTATGGTGCTAGTGTATTTTGTTGTTGTAATAGATTAGTGATAGAGAATTGAATGCATTGTGTTTTGATGTGTGGATATTGTTGATGTTGTAGTACGTGACAATGTATGTCGGTGTGTATGGAAGAAGTGTTTGTGATTGAATAGGTGTGTAGAACAAGTGTTGGTAGTTTGATAGGTGGATAGGTGGATAGAATGATATATCGGTTGTTAGATTGACGTGTTTTAGTTATTGGATATTGATGGTGGTGTGCTGTGTCCTCTGTGCAAAGGCGCCTGGATGTACTGCAGTCACTGGGCGTAAGAACCAGAGGTAGATTGAATTAGTTGTTGATGCACTGTGAATGTTTTTGTGCATCACCACACAGTTTTGTGTGTGTTGTGTATCTGTGAGGTGTTTGGTAAGGAAGGGTGTGGTAGATTAGTGTGTATAATTGATGGATATTGTGTAGTGTTATTGTGTGAGTATTGTGAATGATAGTGGTGCAGTGTTGCTGTGGTGTTATTGTATGTAGGATTTTGTTGATTGGTGCTTTGTTTTGTGCAGTGTAGTTTAGTGTGAGAGACAGTAGTGTTGTGAATTGTTGTGTAATAATGAAATGAGTGTTGAGGAATATTTTAGAATTCCTGCTTGGAACTTCCCGACTGGACAAAAATCTAATATGCGGATTGGAGGACTGTAATAATGAGTTCGTTCTTAATAAAATCTATAAATACCTAACCATTTTGTATTATAATTTATACTGTCTGGGAATGATATTCCTGCCATCAGTCTTCTCTTGCGACTTGCAATGGTTCTGGCGTTCTAGTGCTCACGTTATCCGCGGTTTATCAAGAAGGAGCTTGTAAATATAACAGTATCTTTAGTCACAAGTACATGGCGAATGATGAAGAGTTGAATTTTTCGGAAAATAATGTATATGACATATATTGTATCCACAGTGAATACCTCGAATATATATATATATATATATATATATATATATATATATATATATATATATATTAACGATGACGTTGTGCTTGGATTACTTAAAAGGTATCCATTCAGCCACATTCCAAAATCCTGCCTGTGCAATATCTACTGTGAGGCTCACTCACTTCTGTTCGTGATGTCGTTTTCACTTTCAATCAAATTGAGCTTCATTAATTAAGAATCAATGATACTTTGAAAATAACATCAAAGCTAACTAATTATGAGCATCCGATTTTTGTCTGATTAGGTGATTTGTGCGAACTTATTCAGTTTGAAAATATCAAATTGTTTCTTGATACACGCTTAGTTCAACAGTCTAGTAATATTTTCATATTATTTCATGTTTATAACGATCATAGTGTAATTAATGCAGTGAATTGTGTAGACTGTTCATTCTACAGTGACTGAATTGTGATAACTAACTACTAGTGGCAATCAACAAAATACTTATAAAACATTCAGAATAATCTCGAAAATATTGAATTCTATACTTACATTATGAACAATTTGTTAACCAATTCCTATATCCTGAAATTAGAGTATGTTTGATTTTATATGAAAAAAGAAAGATTGCTTACTATTCAATACATTCATATTGAAACAGTCCGATTATTGATTTACAATAAGGGAGGAAAGAGGTATACCGACATCTATAGAGGAGCATAGAGGCTAGACTATAATTTATGAACCAACCAATAAGATCTTGGATTTTGACGCGAAATTTACTTATCCATTTTGTTAAATAGAGTTTTGGTATTATAGCTGATATTCGTCCGTGATGAAAAATCCAAAATCCATTTCCGAACCCTAATCAGCAACCTTAAATTATATTTCTAATTCCTTACATTGGTTTATGAGCTTCATTTCGTCGTAGGTATTATGTAGACAGTGTCAAGTTCACTTCAGCTTCGCTCAAATGTTAAACCCTTATACTATACCAATTTCACAGTATAAAGTTTAACTATTACCTGGAATTATCTCTTATTTATCCTATTTATTTCAACACAACGACGCACCAAATAAATAATTCAATTTGTGTGAGGGCTGGCATACTGCATGGGTGTCTAGACCGAATCAGGTGGTTTTCTTAGGCGACCATACCTGAAGCCTTCGACCTAAAGATCTGGTCCACAAGACAGTGGAGCAACGTTAGGAGATGCAATCCTATGCTAGCCGGTGACCAATAATTGGTTCGTACGCCATTTGTTCCTTCAGGATACTGAAACCTATGTGCACCATTGGTCTGGAATCAGAATTTCGCAACTCCCCCAAGTGTATCCGCCGTGTCCACCAACCCGGTTAAATCACCGGATATTCACTTTTCATCCTCAATTTCGTAAACAACGCCCTAGTGGCGAGAAGGCAATGAGTAGGGCTTCTCTGACAGTAGCTGCGTATGTGTAGCCATGTGAGAGCATTTGAAAAGAGGAGAGTGGATCATCCTTACTCTCGGCCGAACCGAGGAATTAAATTACATGCAAACACATATCAAAAAGAAAAAACCCCGTTTTATTCTGATTGTTTGACTGGATTATATAATATTATTGTTATTTACAAATAGAAATGAAACAAAATTCCAATCAATAAATAAACAACAACAATTATTTACCTAATCAATTGAAGGTTCAAGCATTTCGATGTTTGTTTTAAAAAAGCGGGGGGGGGCGTTGAATAAATTAAATCACTGAATTCTGTCAATATTTTTGTTGTAAGTAGATAATTTTTTTCTCGGAAAAAAGTATAAATAGATAGAAATAAAGCAGACAAATTTTAAAATATGATCCATACACCCCCCCACAACGACACCACCATCACCACTGATGTCATAGAAGTGAAGTCACAGGGACTGGTAAGCAACTATGTATGTGCTTGGATTAGCTGAAATCACATTCGATATTTATATTACTTCAATTTAAATAAGAAAACATTGTTCTACCTAAGCGAAAAAGCAGTATAAATCAAGTAACAAATTGTGTAATTCAGTAACAATAACACTTTATATAGTAGGAATATTAGTAGTAGTATGACAAATACACATACACACAGAGAGAGATGATAGAAACCAACTGGCGCCAAGAGATTGTGTGTGTGTTTGTATGTCTGTGGGTGCATACAATTTATGAATTTAGTATCTAGAACGATAAAAATTTGACTATTCTTGGTTATCAGGAAAAAATTCTTTAAAAAAAGGATAATTACATCACATAGACATAATAAGAATAAAATTTTTAAAAAAAACAACAAAATTGTAAAATCCTAATCACTTTTTATTCATTAAAAAGAAAATCCAGCTATTCTCATTGACAAAAGTATAATAATATAAAGAAGGAAATAGAAATATGAACTGATTTATGTATTATAAAGTGAATTTTTCAGATGAACTACTTATCTTAAGAATATTTCAATACTAATAGGATGATGACGATGATGATGGAAATGATTTGATCTAGAGATTAAATGATTCACTGCACTGCCTTATTACTATTTGAGAAGAGTTCTGTTGCACTAAATTGAATCCTTTGTCATATTTGTCAACCATGTTCTCAATTATAAATAAGTTCTAAGTTAATCAAGGAGAAGTCTATAAAAGTAAGTTATGAATTAATCAGGATAAAGGGATGAGGTGGGTAGAGGAAAACATTTTGGTCCCATTTCCGCCCCCCTACCACCAAAAAAAGTGCGATCACTAAAAGATTATTAAGGAATTGATTTTCTGAATAGAAAAAAAGGGGGGAAACAATAAATTAGAAATGCTAAATTCATAAAGAAATATCTTAATTTCTAAGGTGATGAATCATGATAACTAGGTGGTGGTCTTTCATCATCATTTCTAATAAATGATGAACGTGGTATAGTTGATAAAGTATAATCTAATTGATCATTTATATTATCTAATGTATTATCATTATTATTATGTTGTAAATATTGTTGATCTAATGCACCAACAGAAGCTGCCATTTCTAAACGTGTTGCTTCAGCATCTTCTTCAGATAAACTATTTAACATACCTATTGTATTATTATTACTCATGGTTGATGATACTTGATTTTGTTCATTCTGATTCATAGAATTCGATGATGGTAATAGAATGAATTCATTCTTATCATTAATGGATAATATTAAAGATTGACGTATATTTGATATTGTTTGTAAATTAGATGTATCATTTCTTGATTGACATCGATACATAACATTCTCTTCTAATTTATCATTGACATATGATATATTCGGATTATTGGCAATCATATTAGAATGAGGATAACATTTTCCAAATAATGGATGATGATGATCCATATATAATAACATTGATGTATTGGAAGTATTATGTTTTACATTTGATTGTTTTATAGGATTATTATTATTATCATTAGATGAAGAACTAAATGGTGAAGAATAATAACCATAAGATGATGTACTACGTTGTTTATAAAAATTCCAATTACGTAATAATTGTATAGCACTTGTTGTAGATACATCTGAATTGTCAACAATTTTTCTATCAATGGACTATATATATATAAGATAAAGAAGAAAAAAATACAAATATAATTGAGTATTTTGTTCATTTCAATGGATGAGATCTTATGGAGAGTGAGATCGTGGATGCACACTGTTGAGGAGTCACACATAATAGGATGAAACGGCCATCCAGTGCTTTTAGGTTTTCCATGGTGGTCTAGTTTCAATTGACTTATGATCTCAACTGTTGAAACGACTATAATATCCACAAAACCTCTTCTAATATTTTGTTAATAACAGAATTCTTATTTGTTACAACATACTAATATAACTACTTTAGGAAGAAGTACATGTTTGTGTATTGAGCTCTGTGGCATAATATTTATATAAGGATTAGTGATTCTATCCACTTTTTCAAACTTAACTGAGTGCCAGTATTCGAACTTGCAACGGCCGTCCAGTGCTTCTAAGTTTTCCACGGTGGTCTAGCTTCAATTGATTCATGACATCAACTATTGAAATTTCTAAAAATCTACACAAAATCTCTCCTTAAAATTCTAATATTAGCCAATCAGTATAACGTATATGTGTTATATGTCGAGTTCACTTGCGTATATGCACAGAAAATAAAGGTGACATACTAATTACATGAAATTCTGATCAACATATTAAATGGAAGACGATGAAATTTTATTTGGTGAACATTACCAATTACATAACAAATACTCAGCTAATACGACTACTCATTGAAGTATTACGACAGTGCATTTTAATGAGTCAATCAGTTACAACGTAGGACCAGGAACATATGTGCATCGGTCCAAGTTGCCATAGCTGATTAGTACAACAAGAGGAACAGCATTTTAATGAAATCTTAAGTAATCTGTTCAATAGTTGAGTAACAAAACATATGACTTCGACACACATACACACAAGATATCCACTCAAGTGTAATGTTTGTTGGTAATAGAGGAAGCTAGAAATCATCAAACTACAAAACGTGTTATTGTTTCATGAAGTCATTGATTGTTGGTCTGAACCATATTGGTAGGTGACAGCTACCAAATTATTGTTGTTATTATTATAAGCTTCTAAAAGCAAAGTACTTGAATAAGATTGGTAGGAGCCTCACCCTGTGTATCAAACAGATAGAAAAAGTAGAAACGTTCGTGTATTTAGGTAGTTGAATAAGTACTGGCGGGGATGTGAGTGGTGAGATCAATGCACGTATAGTGAAAGCCAGAGCGGCTTATGCCAATCTGGGCCATCTTTGGCACCTTCATGATGTTAGTCTGGCTGTAAAAGGTCGGATCTACAACGCGTCCGTAAGAATAGCTTTGCTCTATGTTTGCGAAACCTGGCCTCTCCGAGTTGAGGATGTTAGACGACTCTCTGTGTTTGATCATTGTTGTCTACGAATGATTGTTGACATCCAGTGGCAACACCATATTAGTAATGAAGAGGTTCAGCATAGTGTGTTCGGGCACAGCGACGATAATTCAATTAGTGTCACTGTGTTGAAACATCGATTCCGGTGACTTCAACATGTTTTACAAGTGTCATCCCATAGAATTCCACGTCACGCATTATTGACCAACACTGAAAAAGTCGGAGAGGTGATTCGTGCATGACATGGTGGTATGAAAGAAAGCTGAATATGACTGGTTTCTGCTGGTCCTTCACAACTCCCTGGTTGTGGTCCTAGAGATGGTCCAGCACAATGGCTTCAGACGTTATCAGATATGTTTAGATTATAAGCCAGGGATGTAACTTTTGTAATTATATGCGTCGAAACAAGTAAACATCAAAAAGAAAGGACAAAACTTACTCGAAGAAATTCATTTTTATCATCTTGCATACATAAACTAAGTTCCGTTGAATTATCATCTACAAATTGTTGATGTGTTGTTGATGTATTAACTTGTTGTGAACTATTTTGTTGTTTTCCTTCATTACGATGATGATGTGATAAACCATGTAATGATGATGATGATGAAGATAAATGATTATTTAAGTCTATTAAAAATGAATTATTCGGTAAATTATTTGGTAAAATTCTTAATAATTCATTATTACAATTCTTCTTATGATAAGGATTTAAATAGAATTTTCGACGTTTATGTGGTTCATATAATAATGGCATATTATTTTTATACTTTTCATTTCGACTACTTATATTATTTTCAGTAGTTGAAGTATTAGTAGTAGTATTCAAACGAATATGGTTGATACTTTTACGCTGATTACACATGACTGATAAACTAAATGTAATAATAAATAGAATAGCTAAAAATGTGATAAATACTGCTAATAATAATGAACCAGCTATCCATATCATATGTACATTATGATAGAATGAATATTTCTTTGAATAGATTGATTTAAAGGATTGTAGAATAAGACTATTTCTATCTTTCTTCTTCTTATGATGATGATTTGATTGACTAGATAATGATGATGAATTAGTTCTATTCAATAATATTGGATAACCATTTGAATTAAGATATAAAGTTTGTATAGAATGATTCGATTGTTTATTATTACTAATCCAAATTAATTTATTTTGGCAGATTGATTTTAAGAATTGTCTATTCTGATGTGTATACAATATGATATCATCAAGACATACATTATTTGTACTGTATATAGATAATAATTGTATAGAATCTATAGCAATCCAATGATCAGATTGTTCTAAGAGGGTATCATGAAGTTTGGAAGGATGTTCATATTGATTATAATGATGATTAGTTTGATTATAGAGTGTATTAAGATCAGTAGTAGTGGTGATAGTTGTAGGATAGATAGGCATTGAAACATTAATCCATACATTATATGGTAATGTATTATTTTCTAAATCAGATATTTCTTGACGTATTATTGACCAATCTATTCTAAATGATTTCCTTGATAGAGTAGATGAAGTATGTGACGATGTCTCACTATTTTCCCTAAGATCATCATCATCATTATTATTGTAATCTTCATGATATGCATTTGCATATGATTCTTCAATATTGAACACATTTCGAATTGTTTGTTTATTTGAACTAAAGGTGAGAAATTTGAAGAAAAAATATATGTATCATAATTACATGGTATAAGTTTAAATAATAATTTGTGGACTGTGATTGTATATGTTCTTATTGTTTAACTAACCAGTGCTTCCAGGTTTTCCATGGTGGTCTAGCTTCAATTGACTCATGATTTCAACCTGTGAAATAACTATTAAGTAACTAGATTTATTCGAAACTTGGTTCAGAAAGGAATAGTATGATGTAAAAATGAAAAGAACTGGATTAGAATGATAAGATTTTGAGAAGGAGGAGAAGATATGATATGAACTAATACAACCGAAAGCGACTGAATTTCAGCCACACTACAAGTTATCCAATACCTTTTCATATGATTCACACTGAAATCTAATAACCTTTTAAACTGATGTCATAGCTTTGTCTATGATCTACCAGCCATCATTTACGGAGGTGTATCAGGATAAGCGACTTTTTGACTTTGCTTCTGTTATGTTTGTATCCCAACTATCTTAGTCAATGAAATTTCAACGGCTTACTACCTTCACGTCACTGATCATTTGTCAAAGTCAGTAGAAGCGTTGAAAACTCTAAGAAATACTTTATCCAATCAACATCGAATAAAAGCTTCTTACAAATATATATATATATATATATATATATATATAGTTGGTTTCTAGAAGTTTCTAGAACAAAATCATATGACTCTATAAATACGCTTGACTCCGTCAGTCGGTCAGTCAGCTACAACGTAGGACCAGGCACATATATGCTTCGATCCAGGTTGCCATGCCTGATCACCACAACAAGATAAACACCAAATTCATAAAAGTAGTTAATTCAGTGGTGGTAATATATAAAAGAAAGATTGCAATAAGGATATAGTACAGGAAAAAGAATTAGTTTGTAGAAAGAAATATATGAAGCGATTTTAATCTCTTAGTTTAAGGAAAGACAGGGAGCGTATACACCGACGCCATTCTGATCGATTCTGAGTCATGTCACATACAGTCTCTAACCATTGGTTACGATAGTCACGCGGACCCCAACCAAGTAGTCTGCATCTACCAACATGGCTCAGACTATAAGTTAGTGACTTCAAGGACTAATGCTACGTTTTGGTTTGGCCACCCTTAACTTTTTTCCAACTACCTCCAAAACCGGTTAGCATTGCACGTCGTGGTAATCGATGTTCAGGCATACACAGCACATGGCCCAACCATCACAGTCGATGAAGATTCATAACTTCATCAACTGATTTACCATCATTCCCTAATACCTTGCATCTAACCTCACTATTACTTACCCGGTGATCCCAGCAGACGCCAGAAATATTTCTAAGGCATCTGTGGTCAAATACTCCGTGTACATGACTAATTTTGGAGTATAAGTTTAATTCACGATTCATACTATTCCTTTATTGATTCAAGTTGAAGCATAATAATAGTAATAGTCTATGGTTATAGGAAAAAGTCTAAGAAGTCAGTAATAAATGTTCCAGTAACAAACTTATTATTACTTGAAAAACATCATCTAAAGAAGTCACATTTATCAATTCTATTTCCAATTATATATGAATCATATTATTTTCATTTATTTATTTGAACACATAGATATTGGTACAAGGAGGAGGCAACACATATCTCATTTAGTTTGTGCAAGGGCTATGATACTGCCCCGGGTGTCCAAAACCAAAGCAGGATGAATTCATATACATTATAAAATTATGAAATGAGAAAAAGACTCAACTTACCCTAAACTTAAAATAACTTGACTACCTAATATACTATTATCATTATCCTTATTATTATTAGATAGAAATTGTATTTTCAATTGTAAACAAGCTATTGGATATAATTTAGAAAAGCTATATAATAATTGTTTCGATGGAATAGATTGATTTGATGATTGTTTTATTGAATGATGATGATGATGATAAATAACGGATCGTTTTTGCCTCGATAATTGTGATGATGTAATAGTAGTAGATGATGATTGACTTGAATTAGATATTGTTACATCTATTGGTATAATTGGTTTATGTGTTATAAAATATTTAGGCCAATGAATTGGTAATTTTATATATGAATATTGACTATGATTAGTGGAACATGGGAAATAATTGACTGTTGGAATAATAATAGATGGGAAATTCCCATATTGATTTGATGATGTTTTAACCTAGAATTTGAGGAGAAGAAGAAGAAAACAAACGATTAATTTAGATTATATTGACGATTGAATTTCTAATAGATTTGTACTACCTTTACTTAACCCAGTTGTATAAGGAGTTATAATCGTAAAACATCAGTGAACCTAAAATCTGTTACGACCCCTGGTACGGCCGAGAGTGCGGAAAGTCCGCTTTCCCTCTTGAAATGCTCTTATCACATGGCCACGCGCATATAGCATCTACCAGGGAAGACCTACTTACTACCTTCTCGCACCATGGGTGTTGTTTAAGAAGTTCAGAGGACGAAAAGTGAACGTCCGGCACTTTAACCGGGTTGGTAGACATGGAAAGTCCAACTGGGAGAGTTGGAAAATCCTGATTCCAAACCAATGGTGCACATGGACTCCAGGATCCTGAAGGAAAAAATGGTGTATAAACCAATCGTTGATCACCATGGGACTACATCTCATTACGTTGTGGATCAGACCATTAGATCGAAGGCTCCGGGCGTGGCCCCCTAAGAAAACCACCTGCTCCAGTCTGGGCATCCGTGCAGTATCACAGCCCTTACACAAATCCAATGATTTATGTGGCGTTTGTGTCATTGTTTATATGCTTAAATAAGTAAATGTTAAAATATAGTTTACAATAAATCATATTGATAATACTGTTGTTTATTTCAAGCTGTCAGTGAAAATACTTTGTTTACTGTTTATATTTCTCTTAAACGGACTAAGTTATAATGAGTATTGGTTGGACTGATATTAGTAACAGTTGTAGTAGTTAATTCAGATGGATGTTAAGATGTTCCATCTGGAAAATTTTCATCGTAAAATTAAGTTTATGTCTAATGGATAAGACCTTTCAAAATGAAATTAATAATTACTACTGATATGTTGTATTTTAATTTGATAAATTATTTCTCTATGTCACTATATCAGAAGGAGGTTTTCTTGATATTAAAGTAATTTTAATAGTTGAGATCATGAGTTAATTGAACCTCACTACTGACGGTCTCCAAGAGGTATTTCTTGAAGTTCTAATGAGGAGCAGTGGTCAGTGAACTTCAATCGGGTCTGTTATGAGATATTAATTCACTTAAGATAATATTGAATGTGTCGCTCAATTTCGTGGATTAGTTGAAGTTAGACATTAACACCGTTGGATACCGGCCGGTTCAGTGGTCTAATCGTTAAGCGCTCGCGCGCGAGACCGATAGATCCTGGGTCCGAACCTGGCGGGACGAGATCGTCAATGCACACTTCTGGGGAGTCTAACAGTAGGACGAAACAGCTGTCCAGTGCCTCCAGGTTTTCCATTGTGGTCTAACTTCAAACGACTCATGATCTCAACTATTAAAATAGTTGCTGTAAGACAATTATAATCTAATAACCATTGAATTATGCATAACAATCCATTAAGAAAAGGCTAAACATTTCTTGAAGGCATAGTGATATTCTAGAGAATAAATGAATATAAACAATCATGATATATTTCAAATTCATATACGTCACTAAAATCGTACTGAATGAGAGAATGCATACTTCCTAATGGTGATGTCAGAAGAAACTTCACAGTACTGATTGTTAATCAAAATAAAAACTAAGGTAAATAAATCAAGCATCATATTTTGTAAAGAAAACAAACCATCCAGTGTGAGGTTTTAATTGTGGTACCATATAGAAATACAATAAACAAAGAAAAGAGAAGTAAATATGATCACTAATGGATTAAGAAATTCAAATATTGAGATTTGTAAATTCACTTGGTCTTTGTTTTATTTGTATCTTCCCATTGTTATTTAGGACTACAATTGATCAGTCTCATTTTGGCTTATGTGCATCCTGTGCGAATTACCTCGATATAGCCTTAAGTCATAAGCTGTTTGAGCAAAGATGGATATTGTCTAGCAGTGAAATCCAATTTCACGCGCGTTTCGTTCTATTTGGCACTAGTCAACTGGATTTACCTGCATCGCAGAGTTGATGCTCATTCTAGGACTCAGTACCATTTGCTTCAAATGCCATCGCGTTATTCACTTAGCTACTGAGTCCTAATAGCCACTAGGTTTTACAATGGGGTGAAGTTCAAATTCAATTGGTATTATTTATTTTATTTGTATCTTCCCATTGTTATTTAGGACAACAATTGATCAGCCTCATGTTGGCTTATGTACATCCTGTGCGAATTACCTCAATACAGCTTTAAATCACTTGCTTTTTGTGTACACATATAGGACGAATGTTCTATTGTGGTAATAGATTTATTTATTTTATTTTAACACATAGATATTGGTACAAGGAGGCACCAAATACATATGCGCCACACAAATCTCATTTAATATGTGTGAGGGCTGTGATACTGCACGGACGCCCAGACTGAATCAGGTAGCTTTCTTAGGGGGCCACGCCTGGAACCTTCGACTTGAAGGTCTGATCCACAAGGCAGTGGAGCAACGTCAGGAGATGCAGTCCTATGGTAGCCGGTGACCAACGATTGGTTCATACGCTATTTGTTCCTTCAGGATACTGGAGTGCATGTGCACCATTGATTTGGAATCAGGGTTTTCCAACTCTCCCAGGTGAATCTTTCATATCCACTAAAACGTCAGACATTCGCTTTTCGTCCTCTCAATTTCGCAAATACCGTAGTGCCGAGAAGGTAGTGAGTAGGACTTCCCTGTCATTGCAATTCAAGAGAGAGAGAGCTGACTCTCCCCACTCTTGGCCGTACCAGGGCATTTGGAGGCCACAAATATACCACTCATTCATTAATTTATTGTTACGATGATGGAAAAGCTAGAGAATTAAAGAAAACACAAATAGGCTAGGTAAAACACCTTTGTATTCTAGTTCAGTATCTCCTTTTCTTGATTTGTACTTCGTTTAATTCACCTTTTCTTTCAATCTACTCTACCAATCTTTGTTCAGTACAATATAACTGAGAATAGAACGAAGAAACTCAATATATTTATAATGAATGCTAATTGATATATTTCATATTGGTATATTCTTCATATTTAGAGTACACTGTGTAACTATATTTAACTGTAATCACCTTAGAAATGCGATAATACAAAAGACCATGCTTTTAATGCCTGCTTCGGTTTGGGCACCCGGGCAGTATCACAGCCCTCACACATATCGGATGAGATTTGTGTGGCGCATATGTATTTGGTGCCTCCTTGTACCAATATCTATGTGTTAAAATAAATAAATAAATGCTTTTAATGACGTGACTAAATTTTTTTGTTTTAATACAAGAAAAATAGTTTGAACATTTGCATTATAACACGTGTAATACTAACAGATCTAAACGTTTCGTAACTGAATGTAAATCACTTCTTCAGTGAATAATTAAACAAATTAAATTAGATCAAGTCATGATTTCCATGAAATTAAATTAATAAACGATTCATTAGTAGTAGTACAAAGAAACAATGCAAAACTATTGTATACAATTAATCAATCAATCAGAAAAAACAGGTCTGATCAAGTCCATTTATTATGTCACTCCGGTCAAGGTAGGTTTTATGAGATATACTTGTGTATTTTTGTCTATGGTATGATATGGTATGGTAATAAGTGTGATACATGCGATATTTGTAATGTGAAAATGGTGTGAGATATGAATAGAATCCGATATAGTAGCTTGAATAGATGGTCCAAATTGAATGGATGGTAAGGCTTTCTATTCTATTGAGGACATTAGGATTTAGCAATATATGGGGAGCTTAAGCCACTTACCTTTCATTATAGTTGTGGAGGCTTTTTCCGATTGCTTTGATCCTTTTGATATCGATTTGATGACTAATAAAGATGGAATATATATAGCTGTTATTGACTTAATTTAGAATTTCAAGTTCGACAGGATTATTAAGTGCCTTTGTATGTTTTTGAGTTTTCAAGTACGATACGACAGAATCAAAACATACTACAAAACAACTAAAATCCTTTTCAATGCTTCATTTCGTATAAAGCATATGATTCTCTTTATGTCAACTTTAAACTGTCTACAGATTAAGATTTATCTATTATAACACCTTTGATGTTGGAGAGTCGTTTCGTGAAATGTTGACTTGAGCTAAAGAACATCTAAACTACACAAAAAAAGCATTTAATTATATTGTAGAACTTTTAATTCTAAATCAAGTCAGTAATAGCTATATATATTCCATCTTTATTAGTCATCAAATCGATATCAAAAGGATCAAAACAATCCGAAAAAAGCCTTCCCAACTATAATGAAAGGTAAGTGGCTTAAGCTCCCCATATATTACTAAATCCTAATGTCCTCAATAGAATAGAAAGCCTTACCATCCATTCAATTTGGACCATCTATTCAAGCTACTATGTCGGATTCTATTCATATCTTACACCATTTTCACATTACAAATATCGCATGTATCACACTTATTACCATACCATATCATACCATAGACAAAAATACACAAGTATATCTCATAAAACCTACCTTGACCGGAGTGACATAATAAATGGACTTGATCAGACCTGTTTTTTCTGATTGATTGATTAATTGTATACAATAGTTTTGCATTGTTTCTTTGTACTACTACTAATGAATCGTGTATTAATTTAATTTCATGGAAATCATGACTTGATCTAATTTAATTTGTTTAATTATTCACTGAAGAAGTGATTTACATTCAGTTGCGAAATGTGTCACAAATCTATCATTGCTTTATTATTAACAATTTACTTGATGACTAAATTATATAAAATTAATAAAGTAAATCTAACTAATGATACCTAGAAATACTGAATGAGAGTTTCCGCTATGAAATCTGTTAGCGATTGGTTTACTGTTTATGTTACATGATGATTATGTATAACTGTGAAATTTCCTAGAACTAGTAATTATTCTTATTATTTCTTGATACTGAAAACTAGGTGAAAAAATCAGACAGGTAGTCATTTATATTTTAACATCGTAGTATAAAACACCGCTGTGTAGAGCTGGCTTTTCTCAAACCATCAAGACAATCCGA